GTCCCAGCCAGTGCCCTCCAAGCCTGCTGAGATGGGGGCCTGGAGATGTCCCCCAAGTTCAAAGCAGCCACTGAGCCCAGGTCCCAAGAGAACATTGCAGGCCCCGCAAGAGAGCGGTGAGGAGCTGGGGCCTAAGGAAGGTGGAGGCCTGGTGTGCGGTGGGAGCTGAGGGGCCAGGTGGGTGAGGGTGGGGAAGGAAGGGGGCAGCCTCCCTAGTTGACAGGAATGGGGGAGAGCCAAGATGCCTGTCACGGGGCCCTGATGATGGGTGCATGTCCTCGGAGCCACATGGTGGTAGGACTGGCTTCTAACAGCTCTTTCTTTCTCCCCCAGTGCTGTCAGCCGCCCTGGGCCCTGAGCTGTGGCCAGAGGAGAACTCTGGAGATCAGGAGCTAGCAGCTGTGCTGGTGAGCCAGACAGGTCCCCTCAGTTCTCTGCCTCTGAAGTTTTAGCAAATCCATGTTTTTCTTAATTTAAACCTTGAAAGTTCTTCATCCCCCTCAGGTCCTAGAGCCCCATTCCTCACTTAGTGACAATCTCTGCCCCTCCTTTGGTCACAGGAGTCCCTAACCTTTGAAGATGTCCCAGCAAAGAAGGCTTGGCCTGTGCATCCTCTGGGTAAGAGGGCTTTTTCCCGGGTTTATGACCACTGAAGGGTTTTTCTTTGCCTGTCAGGGGTGGTCCCTACCTGACTTTTTGACCTCTTTGGCAAAAAATGGACTATTTTGATGAGGTAATATATACTGATATATATATCTACATAGATATATATTGATATGTCTGTATCCATACAGGGCTATTTTAAGGCTCATTGGGTCTAATCATCAACCCCCAAAACTCTGAGCTTTTAAAATAGGTGGTCGGGAACTCCCTGGCCATCCAGCGGTTAGGACTCTGGGCTTTCATTGCCGTGGGCCCAGGTTCAATTCCTGGTCAGGGAACTAAGATCCCGCAAGCTGTGCAGCATGGCCAATAAATAAATAAATAAATAAGGTGGTCATGGCAAATACCATATGATATCATTTATATGTGGAATCTAAAATATGACACAAATCAACTGATCTATGAAACAGACTCACAGCCATAGAGAACAGACTTGTGGTTGCCAAGGGGAAGGGAGTGGGAGGGAGGGATGGATTGGGAGTTTGGGATTAGCATGTGCAAACTATTATATATAGACTGGATAAACAGCAAGGTTCTACTGTACAGCACAGGGAACTATATTCAATACCCTCTAATAAAACATAATGGAAAAGAATATATCTGTAACTGAATCCATTTGCTGTACAGCAGAAATTAACATAATATTATAAATCAACTGTACTTCAGTAAAATTAATTACAACAGCTAAAATAAAATAAAATAGGTGGTCACGGGAGGGCTTGCTAATGGGTATGGGTCTCCATTTGGGAGAATGACATAGATAGTGGTGATGGTTGCACAACATTTTGAATGGACCTAATGGACCAGAATTATACACCTTAAAACGGTAAACTGTATGTTATTTGGTTTTTACCCACCCTCTGCCCACCTACCAGCTTTGCAGGATTCTGGGATTCTTTCTGCTTCCAGGCACTGAGGTTCTGGCAATTCCCAGAAGCGCCTCCGAAAAGGCCTGACCTGTCCTGTTTTCTGCTTCTTTCCCAGGATTTGGAGGCAGAACCCCAGACGAGGCGTTTAAAGAAGAGGAACCGAAAGGGGTGTCCTGGCCTGCTGCCATCTCAGCAAAGTCTCAGGCAGAGAGTCCCAGGGTGGCAGAAGAGCCCCACACTCAGTCTCTCGGCCCGGGCCCTGAGGTGGGCGGCCCCAGTGGAGAAATGTCCCCTCCCGACAGGAGTGAAGTTCTGGAGGTCAAAGTGGCTGGGGGCGCCCCCAAGTCGGAGCCGGAGATAAAGTTCATCTGCACAGACTGCGGGGTGAGCTTCCCACAGCTGGCCCGCCTGGAGACGCACCAGCTGCGGTCTCACCCAGGCGCGCGGTCCTTCCTGTGCTTGTGCTGCGGGAAGAGCTTCGGCCGCAGCTCCATCCTCAAGCTGCACATGCGCACGCACACGGATGAGCGGCCGCACACCTGCCACCTCTGCGGCCACCGCTTCCGCCAGAGCTCGCACCTGAGCAAACACATGCAGACGCACTCCTCCGAGCCCGCCTTCCTGTGCGCCGAGTGCGGTCAGGGCTTCCAGCGCCGGGCCCGCCTCATGCAGCACCTTCTGGCGCACGCCCAGGACCAAAAGCCCCCAGGCGCCCCGGAGACCAAGACCCCAGCGCCCCCCGAGCTGGCCATCGTCCTGTGCTCCCACTGCGGCCAAACCTTCCAGCGCCGCTCCAGCCTCAAGCGCCATCTGCGGATCCACGCCAAGGACCAGGGCCACCAGTGCTCCGAGTGCTCGGGCAGCCTGCGTCCCGGGCCCGAGCTCAGGCCCTACGTGTGTGGCGACTGCGGCAAGGCTTTCCGGCGCAGCGAGCACCTGGGGGCACACCGGCGTGTGCACACAGGCGAGCGGCCCTTCTCCTGCCAAGTCTGCGGCCGCAGCTTCAGTCAGAGCTCCCAGCTGGTCTGCCACCAGCGGGTGCACACGGGCGAGAAGCCCTACAGCTGCCCACACTGCGGGAAGCGCTTCATGCGAAGGGCCGGCCTCGCCCGCCACCTCCTGACCCACGGCGGCCCGAGGCCCCACCACTGCACCCAGTGCGGCAAGAGCTTCAGCCAGACGCAGGACCTCGCCCGCCACCGGCGCAGCCACACCGGGGAGAAGCCCTGCCGCTGCAGCGAGTGTGGCGAGGGCTTTAGCCAAAGCGCCCACTTGGCGCGCCACCAGCGCATCCACACCGGGGAGAAGCCTCACGTCTGTGACACGTGCGGCCACCGCTTCCGCAACAGCTCCAACCTGGCCCGCCACCGCCGCAGCCACACAGGCGAGCGGCCCTACAGCTGCCAGAAGTGCGGCCGGAGCTTCCGGCGCAACGCCCACCTGCAGCGCCACCTGGCCACGCACGCCGGGGCGGGGGACGAGGGCGTGTCTGGGCAGGCCGAGCCCCCCCAGGAGTGCCTGGAGTGCGGCAAGATCTTCAGCCGCAGCTGCAACCTACTGCGGCACATGCTGGTGCACACGGGGGCCAGGCCCTACTCCTGCGCGCAGTGTGGCCGCAGCTTCAGCCGCAACTCCCACCTGCTACGCCACCTGAGAACCCACGCCCGGGAGACCCTGTACTAGCTTCGCCTGGTTCCGCCAGGTCTGTCCCGCGTGCATCTCCCCAGCGTGCCTGGCCTCCAAGGCTGCAGTGGATGGCGCTGCCCCCCCACCCCAGCCACCTCTCTCTGGCTCCACCGACCCTGCACAGTAGTTCTTCCCGTCCCCACAGGGAACTCTTCCAGGCCTCAGGAATGTATTTTAAAATACCCAAAGTAAAACAGCCTTCTTGAAAGTGGTCCCTCTTTATGTTTTTTTAAGTGCACCAAAATGCCACCTTTTACCCTCCCCACTGTATCACGGTGATGCATTTCTCCTTCCGCCACCCCTTCAAAGCAGGCTGGATGGGAGCAGGCCCAGGGGGAGTTCCTCCCACCTGAAAAGGCTCAGACTGTT